TAGTCAAAACTTATGTTAGTTAGGATTTCTAGATATGCAGGGATATATTTGAGATGTATAAATATTTTTAAAACCTTTCAAAGTCCTACTACAGAATATGGCATTTAAAATGGTTTAGGATTTTTCTTGACAGTGAGACATAACTGCTCCTGGCAACACCACCTGTGTCAGAAGGGAAGGTGGAAATTGAAGAAACACGTTATGGAGTTTGCTTCCAATATGGTAAGTCTAGCCATTTGGGCAAGATACTGCTCTTGTCTATACTGTTCAACTATGTGGTTTAAAAGGAGACATGCAGGACCCACAGGAAAGTGACTGTTGAAACAAGATGGACATTGCTACAGGGTTCCTGCTTCATGGAAGAGTCTGCCAGACATTCTGCAGGACACATGGAAAAGCGACTGACAATCTGCCAATACAGGTGGACAGTTTAAAGATTTTGCTTTGCTGAGGAGTCTGCCAGACTCACTATGGCCTACAGGCTGAAGATAGAACATTACAGAAGAACTTTGGGTGACTGTCTAGGTGGCAAGATGTCTCTGTCATTTCTAGAGTTTATATACTATCCTTCTGTGGTCTTTGATGGAGTTGAAGACAGATAGTTATGGTTATTGTTTTTCTTAGTTATAAAAGCATTCGGACGTTCTGAGGCACACCTAGAACACATCCCAGAAACCCTAGAACACATCCCGGAAATACCTGTGTGGAGGAAAGAGCTCCCTTCACTCTCCCCTCACTTCCTTACTAAGTAATCAATTTCCTTAGGAGTCTGGCGAGCTGGCTACTTTTATGTTAAACTGACAGGAGCTAGAGAGTTATTTGGGTAGAAGGAAACACAGTCAAGAAAATGCCACCACCAAATTGGCTTGTGCTCAAGCCTGTGGTGCTTTTTCTTGCTTAACGATTGATGTGGGAGGTGTCTTCCTTGGGCTGGTGGTCCTGGTAACTGTGAGAAAGCAGGCTGAGCAAGCCAGAGGGAGCTTACATCTCCACATGGCAGTCCATCATCAAAGGAAGCAAGCAGGAACTGAAGCAGAAACCATGGAGAATCACTGCTTACTGGCTTGCTTCCTACTCCACCACCTTCCCACCCCGCCCTCCCTCTATCTCCTGTCTTTGTCTCTTGTTCCTTGACTTCTTGCTCCTTGTCTCTCCAGGGCAAATAAGTCTCCTTTGTGCTGAGTGAGAATTTGGCCTTGGTGTGTCCTGTGCCGATTCCGGTCCTTTCAGAGGCATGCTGGTGAAATACTGTACAGAGACTATGAGTTCATAGGTGAACACACATGATGAGAACTGGCCCTAGGTGATCTCCTAGATGAGAGTTGTGTATTTATTCTCCTGAGTTGTGATAAGAGTTCCAGCTTGGAATTGTAGGAATGGGGCTCCAAGGGCTAGAGTCCTGTGTGCAATGTCACTAAGGTATGCTGAGGATAGATTTATAGGCAAGTTCTTACTTTCCAGATTATCCACCCATGTAGATACCACCTGACATCAGGAGAAGCACCCATGGTCACCTTGCTGAGGCTGATGAAGTCCTGGGCCAAGCAGAGTCTCCTACATAATACTTCCCTGCCTGCCACCCACTCGTTCACACAGGTGGCAGCAGCCAGTGCCTGGTCTTCCAGTCTCCATGACTCACAGGGCATTAAAGGAAGATCTCAGATGTTGTCTCCAAAAATAGTCTCTTCATCCACATAAGGCGCAATTCTGAAGCCCACCGCCTCTCACAAGGGGCCAGTTCTAGAGGGTCTAAGTTGCCTTCTGAATCGGGAGGATTCTGAACATCTAGGCCACAGGATGGTGCACAGCTGTGTTTGATTGTCAGGTATGGTGACATGACTGCAAAGGGTGCCTGTCTGTCCTGAGGGTCTGTGTCCTGAGGGCAGTGCCACAGTCCAGCTCTCCCCTGCAGAGCACATCCCGTGCTCAGCCAAAGGGCAGTCTAGGTTGCAAGGCTAGGGTGTTGCAACACGAACAGTGGATGAGGGCTAGTCACGGGAAGCCAGGCATGCCAATGCTGTATCCCTGGAACTTGGATCCCATGTTTCTCTGACACACAAACTCAAATGTCAGCTAGGGAGGAGGGAGACATTCTGAAATTGCCAGGGTTTAATAAAAAGTGACAAAGAGGCCGCTGGATTGCATGACCATGCACAGCCATGAGGAGTTCAGGGCTGTGGCCAGAAATGCAACTGAAGACGTGTGTGTGTGAGAGAGAGAGTACAAATATTGCATCCTGCTCCTGGAAGTTGTCAAATGCTAGGCCCACCGTGAAAGGGTGAGGCCAGCCCTCCATCTTCAAGGCTCCCTGAGGTTCCCATTAATTTAAATTAATCTGGGACTAACTCCATTTCATTATCCACCCCTTATCCCCATCCCCAGGAGGTTCAATAGTAGATAACAATTGAGAATTTGCTATTAACTGACCTTCAAAACCACACAACCAAATTAATAGCAGGAGCCAGGGAGCTAATCATTCCTCTTGGGATGCTCCTGGCATCTCAGCCCCTAGTTTCCTAATGAGGGAGAGCATTCTTTTGCATAATCATAAAATGAAATTGGAGATGATGTAGTTTGGCTCTTGAAGGTCAGCTGGGGGCCTGTGTGTTTGTGCTGTTAGGGTGTGGAGGGGTCTATAAGAGGTGACGTGTCCTTTCTCCCTCCCTCCTTTCCTGAACAGACATCGACTGAAGGCCCAGCAAGATTACCGTTTCATCTGCTCTTCTTTTACTTGCTGCTTGCTATTTACCAGAGCTTTGTGGGTCATTAAATATTCATCAGCATAATTAAAAAGCTAGGAAGCAATGATAAAACACGCTTATTATATTATGTCACAATACTGTCAGCCCCAACCTATCAATTACATATCCAGGCAGTCATTGGCTGCTGTCCCATAGGCATTGGCTTGTGGTGGGCATCGGGAGATGGCATTTTGTCAGCATCTCACACCAACTCGTCCTCAGAGGAGCAGTCTCAGCCTAGGCAATGAAGGGTGGAGATATGTATCCAGGGCCTCACAGCCCATCACAGAGGCATGCAGAGCCCTGATCCAAGCCTGCCTCTGGACAGTGGCCACATGAGCACCCCTTTTGCCTCACGGCTTCTTAGGGCAAAGAGTTAAGGCACTTACAGTTTTTCAGATGCTACATTCAACCAATGCACGATTGGTGACAGAGTCTCCAGTGACTTCAGTGAACAGGATATCAGATACTTGGTGTCTACTTCATTATAGCTAATAAAGTTTTATTTAAAGCCCAGCCATTCAGTGCATCTGAATTGATAAACAAGGACATTAAAGCCATGGGAGGTGAAATTACAGATCTGGGGTCAGACGCTCCTTAAGTGTTAGAACCAGCAATGAGCCAGAACTGGACCTCCAAACACTGAGGCCTAGAGGGGCCCTGAGTAAAGCAACACATGTACCGTGCTTACAGAGAAGTGGTGGAGTGGCTTTTGTTCCCTTTTCTGTTGGGCCATACTGAAGATGGAACCCAAGGCCTTATACATTCGAGGTAAGCATTAAACCATTGCTCTGTGTCCCAGCCTTTAGAGAATCTTATCACGGATGACACCTCCCACCCCAACTGTCTCCATCCCTCATTTCTTTTCCCAAGAAGTACCTACAGTCCACCCTTGATAGCAAGAGTTTCTGTATCTAGGAATTCAATCAAGTGTGGGTTTTAAATTAATTTTGATTGAGTTTGTATTGAATGTGCAAGCCTATTTTCTCCCATGTCACTATTGCCTAAACAGCATTCTGAGAGTGATTTTTCAGCATGCATCATTGTGTTAGACATGGTACGTCATCTAGACATGAGTTCAAGTGTGTGTGTGTGTGAAGATGCTGAGGGCTCCGTGCAGATTCAATGTTGCTTTATGGAAGGAGCTGAGTTCCCTGGCTTTAGAGGATATACTTGGTCTGTAAGCTAGTGCCCACAGCACAGGCCTGGCAACTGTGGTGAGCCTGGGGGTAGGGGGATAAGGGAACACAAAGGTCCCACGTGAGCTGTGAGGGCTGGAGGTGGCTTCCCAATGTCTTCAGGGAAACCCCTGGTAGTATTGAGTGTAATGGCCCCCATAAAGTCATAGGGAGTGGCATTATTAGTAGGTAAGGCTTGGATGGAATAGGTGTGGCCTTGTTGGAGGAAGTGTGTCACTGTTAGGGTGGGCTTTGAGGTCTCTTTAGCTCAAGCTTTGCTCAGTGTGGCCCTCAATCCACTTCCTGTTGCCTACAAGATGTAGGACCCTCAGCTACCTCTCCAGCAGCATGTCTGCCTACATGTCACCATGTCCTACCATGATCATAATAGATCGAACCCCTGATACTGTAAGCCACCACCTTAATTAAATGTTTTCCTTAATAAGAGTTGCTGTGGTCATGGTGTCTCTTCACAGCAATAGAAACCCTATCTAAGACAAGCCCTGAGCATGTCCATTGACCAAGGCCAGAGAATGGACCAAGGCTGAGGCCACAGACGGTGAAGCCTGGTTCTATTACTTATCAGCTTTAGGGCCCTACTTCTCCTGAATGTTCTCACTGTAAAATGAGAAAAACATCTCTGTCTTGAACTGGCAACAAGAGGGCTGGCACATTTGGGCTACTGTAGGAAAGGGTGGGTCTTTCTGTTGGAGCCCACCATGGTGGGGGGCAAAGCATAGACTAAACCAACCACAAATCCCCATAGAAAGCAAAAATGAGGTCCACCATTATACATTCATTTAAACAAGTTCCCTTTATGAAAAACAGAACATATACACACACTGTAACTATAGAGAGCTGTACCTTTCTCACATAAACTGGTAGGGACCCACCCCAACAACAAGCAGCAGTCTGTATGAGGAAGGTGGGGTGAGGCGGTCTCCTCTAGATCTTGGTCATGTGGACCTGGAAGAAAGGTGTGCTTGTGTCCTGTGACACAAAAGAGAATGAACCAAACAGAGACTCAGGGGACCAGAGCTCCTGAGCACTGGAAAGCCAATGTCTGTGGTACTGTGTCTATGCTGCAAGTATGTATATATTGCAAGCTGTACGATACAGACAGACAGACAGACAAAGTGGAGCTGGAGGAAAGATGCACCTGACAAGATAATCCCTGGAGCTTCCCCTGGGGTCAGTCCAAGCCCAAGGCCCTGCTGGCCTTCTTGGCATTCAGGAAGTTCTTTTTCCTTCTAGGAGGAACACGCAAGGAGATTTCTGGCTCCTTTGGGCTCCTGAATACAAAGATCTTTTCTCCGGTGTTTAATATGTCCATGGTGTCCAGCCCTGTGATTGGCATGGGTGCCAGTTCCCCCATGGGCTCTAGGGACAGGTGTGGCCAGCTTCCTTTTCCAGGGAACATCACCCTCTCCTGGACAGGCGTGTATACCGTCTTCAATATGCTGCAGAGAGAAGAGACAGTTAGATCCTGTATTCTGGGCCATTCTGACCCTCCTAAGTGTTCTGGCACTTTCCCAGAGAACTCCCCTTTTGGTCCTCAGATCCCAAATAAATGTCATTTCATTTTATTTTTTTAAGGAATCATTTTTGTTTTGTGTGTCTGCATGTGCCATGTTTGTGTGCTGCCCACAGAGATCAGAAAAGGGTGACAGGTCCCCTGGAGCTGGGGTTACAGGCTGTTGTGAACTGCTTGATGTGGGGGCTGGGAATCAAACTCTAGTCCTGTGAAGAGCAATATCTCAGCCACTGTTCTGTTGCTGTGATGAGACGCCATGACCAAGACAATTCTTATAAAAGAAGGTGTTTAATAACGTCACTCCCTGTGACTAAACATTCAAGCCTAAGAGTCTATGGGGGCCATTCTCATTCAGTCAACCACAGAGACCACACTTCACCCACTGAGTCATTTCCCCATCATTATGTACTATATTTAAAACAGTTTTCCTCCCCTTCGACCACTGATTGTCCATAAAATCAGATGAGAGCTACAGTGACATGTACTGCTGGCCACCTTCACCAGCTCATAGTGTGAAAGGTTCAGAAGTCTGGTGAGCCCAGTGTACACTGTTAGCTTGTTGCCCAGGAATATTACACCATGGAAACAGGCAGAGTTCCCTCCATCTCCACGATTCATCTACCAGCTCCCTATTAAACACTTAAAAACCCACCCCACAGAAAACTGCGAGAAGCTGGATAGAATGCAACTGAGACAGAATGCAGCAGGCTTCGAAATTACCCCAGGACAGGTCTGCTGGAATCCTGTCCCTGGAGCCCTGGTTGCCACTGTTGCCATTACAACTGCTCCCGAGAGCCACATGTGGCCTTAAAGCCACAGGACTCTGCCCTGGCCCCTAGCAGTTCGGTGTAAGGCTGTTTCAGTAGGGTTCACCTGGGAAGCTCTTACCTCTCCAGGAGGTGCTGTGCAAGATTGGCTCCACTGACATCACACACCCCTGCTCTGTAGCCTGGGAATCAGTTCTCTCTTACACTGTCTGTTGCTGAAAACTGAGACCAAGGCCTTTCATGACTGCTGCCCACTCTGTACACATCAGTACAGGAAAGTATGAATGCAGGGAGAACACCTTACAACTAAGCAGATCCAAAGTCATTTCTGGTCTGGACTTGAGTTGACGTCTCCTACTGAATATCCTGATCTTATTTCGTGGGTACTGTGTTCCGATATCCAACTGAGGTGGTTTGAAAGAAAATGGCCCCCAAAGGGAGGGACACAATTAGAAGGTGTGGCCTTGGAGGAAGAGTGCAACTGTGGGGGCGGGCTTTGAGGTCTCACTTGCTCAAGCTTCCCTCAGTGTGACAGTCAGTTGACTTCCTGTTGCCTTCAAGATGTAGGTCTTGCAGATATTCCAGCACCAAACCTGCATGTACACTGCGCTGCTCCCCACCATGATGATAATGGACTGAACTGTTGAAACTGTAAGCTGCCACCACAACTAAATTTTTTTCTTTATAAGAGTTACCGTGGTCATGGTGTCTCTTCACAGCAAAACCAAACCAAACCACACCAAAACAAAACACAAAACAAAAAAACCCTAAGACACCAATCTATTGTCAATGGTTCCATGCTTTCCATAGCAGACAATTCATGACACCGAGTCACAGGGCATTCATCGCTGAGAAACTATAAAGGGCATGGATTGGACACCCACCAATTCCAGAGTGATAATCTTTAAGTCATTATGTGTCCAGCTTATGTTACTTTGTGTGTGCACGTGTGTGGTATATGTGCATGTTTCTCTGGGTGTGTACACATGTGTATATGTATGTGGAGGCCTACAATGGCGTACTCACCTACTTTCCACCTTGCTTTTTTTAGGTAGGGTCCCTCATTGAACATGGAACTCACCTATTGGCTAGGTTTGCTGGCCACTGGGTTCCAGCAATCCTCTTGTCCCTGCCTCCCCAGTACTGGGATTGTAGGCCCTTGCCTGCATCTGGGAGGTGGGGATATGAACCCAGGTCCTCATGCCTGCATGACAGGCACCGTACCAACCGAGTTACTGCCCCAGCCTGAGACTGTCATTGCTTTTAAGCAGCTATGCGCCACCTAATGTGACATATTTCCGATCTCCTCTATTTAGAACTGCAGGAGACTCGTGTTCTGTGGTTCTGTGGCAATGCAAAATGGCCTCCTCCTCCCCTCTGAGATCTAAGTGTGCAAGGATCACAGCTAAAAGAGACAGGCACTAGGCAGGAAGAGGCAAGCCTGGAGGTTCGTAGAAGTGGAGAGTGAGTTTGACAGCCCACGGCCAGCGTTCCCCTCCCTAGCTGCTCTACATTGGACCTCCCTAAACTCTGATTTTATCAACTCCACCTTCTGGAAGGTTCAGAGTAACAATCAGTAAAAAGGCTTTGAGAACAGTAAAGTCTGATGAACTCTAAGGAATTTTTTTTTTCTAATTATATCTCATTAAAACCCGCTATTAGCTAAAATAAATATAGTAATTAAAAGGCTAATGAATGTTAGGAGAACATGCTCCTACTGGGAGCTCCAGGCTTGTTTTCAGCTTTTAAACCAAGGCCAAGAACAAAGGTGTGTTTTCTTCAGGGAAAGAACTTTCCCACCTTCCCACACCCTCCCTGGCAATTTGGCCATGCTCCTGCAGCCCCCTCAGCCCCCACACTGCCCCAGCTCCTCACCTCTCCTTCTTTCGGCGGGCCCAGAGCATCCTTTCCAATCCTCGACTCACCAAATCTGTTCTCAGTCTGCTGTCCAAAGCTTGCCACCAGCCCTGGTGTTTTCTGATGCAGGAGGAGGGTGTCAGAGTTTATAAATGAATTAAATCAGATTCTCAAAAAAAAAAAAAAAAAAAAAAAAAAAAAAAAAACCTGTGGAGCTCCATCCCTTCAGGTGGCCTCTGACTGCCACCGGGAGCACTGACAGACTCGCTGGGTCTCAATCTCAAGCCTGGTCCACAAACACTCCCTACCTGGAGGAGGCCACAGACAACATAAATCAGGTGGAGGCAAGCTGTGTAAAGAAGAGAGTCCCGTGGGGGTATTTAAAGGTGTTTACTGACTCCCGTTGCACATTGCGACTTCCCTGAATCCCACATGTCCCTCAGGTCACCTGGTCTCTCCTAGTTGCCAGATTCTACTGAAAACTCAAGACTCTGAGCTGATGTGATGTCCAGGCACCACGGTCCCAAGAGAGACTGCTCCACCCCCCGGCCTGACCAGAAGTTGGGCTAAGAGAGGGAAGGTGCATAGTCTTCTTCAGAGCCCAGCCCTGTCAACCCCTCACACAGCCTTGGAGATAAGTTGTCTCAGAATGCAGTGTGTAGACACCACAGCTACGGAGGAATCAGGAGCCAAGGCCACTCCCACACCCAGGCTTCTGACAAGCTCACATCTAGCCTTCTGCTCACATCCACACCCAGACTTCAGAACACACTCCCAGTAGACCTTGAGCCACACCCAATCCTCCAGCTATACCCATATCCAGTCTTCTTAGTCCACTCAAATCTGACTTGGATAACTGTGTCGGACCCACAGGCACTAGGACGGTGAGTGCGTCTAGTCTCTGAAACGCCTGCCCCGACCCCGCCTTCGCTCACTCTGACCTCTCTTTTTGTCTTCTGCAAACGTAAGCCTTTGATCAAAGTTTATGACTGATGGAAAGACTGTCCCTTTTACCAGGAAAGTAATGTCCCTCAGGACACCTGCTCCAGTAACACTAGGGCCATGTCAATAGTTCTCTAGCTGCCCATCCTAGCTGCCTAAGGATCGTGATTGAGTTTGGGGCTGGGTCTTCCACAACTTTCAATCTGTTTATTCACCTTATGTTCTGGTTCCCATAGACTCTACTTTCCAGTGTCACTGCTGAGAGCTCCCCAAACCTCCTGCCTTCACAGCATGCTTCCTGCTTTTCCTTGTTTAAAAGTGTGCGTGCGTGCGTGCGTGCGTGCGTGCGTGTGTGTGTGTGTGTGTGTGTGTGTGTGTGTGTGTGTGTGTGCATGCTAAGGCGTGCATGTGGAGGTCAGAGGACAACTTTGCAGGAGTTGGTTCTTTCCTTCCATTCCAGGGATGGAACATAGGTTTTCAGACTTGGCTGGGAACCTTGTCTTTTGATGAGCCTTTCCTGACTCGATTCAGACATGGACCATAACTCTAAACAAAAGCCCTTGTGGGTAGGTCTGTGGTGAGAGGGCAATGGGCCCCAACAGCATATCCCAGAACAGGGGACAGTCACGCGCATTATGGCACACTGTTGGTAACATATTGCAGTCACCAAACATAACAATGTCAGTGAGCGACATTATGTTTAAACCCATAAGAACAGCAGGAAATGCATTCTAGTGGCACAAGAACTGGGCAGGAATAAGGAAGTTTGCTGTGTTCCAAGGCCATAAAAGCTGACAGTGAGGATAAGTACTTGGCATCCTCACCAAGCCCAGGCATAAGACCTAAGACGGTTCCACTCACTTTCACTCCGTAAAGGTGGGAAGACAAGAGACATTCAGCAGAAATGGTGCTTTGAAATGTGAACTTGCGTCTTCTCCAGGCATCTTTGGGGTACAGGCTACAGGAGGGGCAACCTTCTCTGTCAGCCCCAGGAGACACTGTGAGGAGCCCTGCAGCTGGGCCCAGACACTGGACACGTGAGGCATGTTAACCACATTCTCCACTAACAACACCTTCAATTTACAATCCATTTATCAGAACATAACCCCATTATGAATTGATGAACAGCCTGTTCACATTAATGTGGGCAAAATATACATGCATGCATGCAAGCGCGCACACCAACACACCTCAGTACGCACCGAAACATACATGTATACATATACACATTCACAAAGCACAGCAGAGAAACACGCTGCCAGGGAAGAAAGATAACCAAATGCTAACACGCACAGCACACTTTCTTCTTTTCCTCTCTATGCACTCTTAATGTCTCCTTAATGGTATGTATAATAAACATTCTGGTCTGCGGAGAAATGTACGGCCCAAAGACTCACTTGAAGTTGGGGACCGACTACTCGGGTCTACTAAGATTTGGGCTCTGAGTGGTGAGGGACTGCTGGGATGGTCCATGGGTGACATCCTTTCCCTCTGCCTCTTACCTGGTCACGCCTGGCTTTCCCAGACCAACCTCCCACCCGGAGCTCACCTCTTCTTGCTCTGCTCAGCCTGCTCCCCGCTGCTGCTGTGCTCTGCTGCGTGGTCTGAGTGCTTTTCCCTGACTGTGTCCAGCAGGGCCAGTAGCGGAGGTTGCGAAGCCACTGGGAGCACCACACTCAGGAGTCGGAGCAGCGTGCTCCCTGGCACCATTGTCATCTTTGAGAGGTACGACACCAGCCTCAGTCCCTATGGGAACACAACAGGGAAGAACTAAAGCCCTGGCTCTCTCCAGACCTGCAGGGCAGCAATATCTAATTCATGACAATCTCAAGGTTTTTGTTGTCCTGGGGCAATAAATATTTCAGTGGCTCAGCCCAGTAAACATTCTGAATTCACAAAGCTGTCAAAAGAATGTCTGTGGTCAGCAGCAGCCTTGGCATCCACAATGTCCCTAACAGCTCACCCACCCCTCCCAGGTTAGCTCACTGAAGCAAGCCAGAACCACGGCACAAGAGGCCGAGCATATATCAGGACAATCAGGCATGTTTTTCCATTCCCTGCTCCACTTCTGGGAGGCCCTTTGGATGGTGTAAGCTCTGGGAATAGCTGAGTGTCCCTATGCCAGTGGATGATTAGAGCTACTGATGCACTAGCACGTGAAATGACACTCAGCCATGAAAAGGAAGGGCTACTGAGCTCAAGGGCTACACGATGGGTTGAAATGGTATATTTCCACAGGATGCAGGCGGTGCAGTACCATACAGGGATCACCGTAGCTGGACGTGGAGGAAAGGTGCAGAATGGAGCCATGGCTGCTGAGGTGGGGAATGGTGAGTGAGGAGGTGGTGGCTGTGAAATAACACATAGGGAGGGTCTCAGCTGGGTCGGACCATTCTGCATCCTTGTTGTGGTGACAAGAAATCTCTGTGATAACAGGACAGAAAGCCGCACGAACAGTTCATACCAGGTTTAATATGGTTCCGGGCAAACCCAAGGAAACAAGAAATGAAAGATGGATGGTGTAACTTTCTATACCCTAACATGTCCAAACGATTTCAAAATGAAAGGCTTAAAAATGTACCAACTCTGTACCGGTCAAGCCCTTTGCCGAGTGCCCAGCCTCACCGAACCGGATGCTAAGTTCTTGGGCCATATGTTCATTCCTCCTTATGCCTCAAATCCCTCATCTGTAAAATGAGACTGTGAGACTGCCAATACTGTTGTTGCAAAGGGTTCAGTGAGGACACAGACAGCTGGGCTTTGTCCAGTGAGGTGGCACATCACTATACTCCCAGCACTCAGGAGGTGAGATGAGACGGGGTTGCCATGAGTTTAAGTTTGAGTAATGTCTTGCCCCCACTCAAAAAAAAAACAAAAACAAAAAAAGAGTGAAAGCCACCAAGACCCAAATAAAAGTCTCTCCTCTCTTGCAGGGTGGCCATTGTTAGCCCTTGGCCAATCAGTGCCCTTCCCTGGGATTTTACATGGCAATACCTGGGGGGGGGGTGAGGTGGGGATTTCAGTGTCCAGCAAAGCAGGGTAGGGATGTGGGGAGTCTGAGGTCAGGGCTGCCAGAGCCTGATCTATGTGTGGAGAACGTTCACGAGAGGGCAGAATGAAGAAAGGAGAAGACGGAGGGTCCACTGTGTCTGCTCTGCTGTGGGGAAGGACTGTGGCTGTTATGAGAGCCACTGTTATAACGTAGTGTGTAGACAACATTAACAAAAGACGTCTGTACACACCAGGCAGACACAGCCATCTGAGGCTTCACTATAAACGGGACATGTTTGGCAGTAAGGGGACTTTGTCTTGTCCTGGGGACAAAAGGCTTAACATCATAGCTGTCATCATTAGCATGCCTTCTGGACCTGGGCTGACATGAACCTGCATCAAGGCCAATCCCCATCAGACATAGGGAAGATGTCTGTTCTGAGAAAGGAAAAATGTCCACCAATAGGGGCAGGCCCTCTCACCTGGCTGCACAGACTGGCCATGGTGTCAGCCTCCATGCTTTCCAGAGAATCTTCCAGCACCGCACTGTTCTGACGCTCGTCTCTCACCCTAGAGTGTAGAGAAAGTCCAGAGGTTCAGCCAAGCCAAGGGGACCTGATGGGTCCACACCTGACACTAAAGCACCTGGGGCCCACACCTGACACTAAAGCACCTGGGGCCCACACCTGACACTAAAGCACCTGGGTCCACACCTGACACTAAAGCACCTGGGTCCACACCTGACACTAAAGCACCTGGGTCCACACCTGACACTAAAGCACCTGGGTCCACACCTCACACTAAAGCACCTGGGTCCACACCTGACACTAAAGCACCTGGGGTCCACACCTGACACTAAAGCACCTGGGTCCACACCTCACACTAAAGCACCTGGGTCCACACCTCACACTAAAGCACCTGGGTCCACACCTGACACTAAAGCACCTGGGGTCCACACCTCACACTAAAGCACCTGGGTCCACACCTGACACTAAAGCACCTGGGGTCCACACCTCACACTAAAGCACCTGGGGTCCACACCTGACACTAAAGCACCTGGGGTCCACACCTGACACTAAAGCACCTGGGTCCACACCTGACACTAAAGCACCTGGGTTCACACCTGACACTAAAGCACCTGGGGTCCACACCTGACACTAAAGCACCTGGGGCCCACACCTGACACTAAAGCACCTGGGGTCCACACCTGACACTAAGGCACCTGGGGTCCACACCTCACACTAAAGCACCTGGGTCCACACCTCACACTAAAGCACCTGGGTCCACACCTGACACTAAAGCACCTGGGGTCCATGCCTCACACTAAAGCACCTGGGTCCACACCTCACACTAAAGCACCTGGGTCCACACCTGACACTAAAGCACCTGGGTCCACACCTGACACTAAAGCACCTGGGGTCCACACCTGACACTAAAGCACCTGGGTCCACACCTGACACTAAAGCACCTGGGGTCCACACCTCACACTAAAGCACCTGGGGTCCACACCTGCTTCTGCCCTTTACTGAAGCAAAGCCAAAGTCACAGATGGCCACAGACATCCCTACTTTGGTGGCAAGGCCGTCTGCCACCTTGTGACAAGAGCTTGCTGTACCCCCAATGTGGGTTCAGTGTCAAAGGTGAGGCCACTGATTGGCCCCACAATCTTAGCGGCTATCACAACCCAAGGCTTGAGCAGGCACAACTCAAACCCTGACTTGTGCAGATTCCCACAGGGAAGAGAGAACATGACAATAATAATAAAACATTTAAAAGCCCCTAGATAAATCAACTTATGCCTCCCTGGCAGACGCTCAGCCCCTTTGTCTGTTAATTCCAGGCGATGAATCTGCACTTTGATGTCGAGTTTACCGGGGAGACAAACTCAAACAAAATCGGTGTAATCTCCCCACCCAGAAACCAAGTGGAGTGCTTCCTCCTGTTAATTTGTATACTTCTACAAACCAGTCAATGTGTGCTGTATACAGTCTCTATCTGCCGCTTTACACATAGATAGCATCGTCTCAGTGGGGAGTTAGAGAGCTGTAGGAAATGGTGTTACTCCGGGAGCACGGAATGCCACGGGCAAAAGCTAATTGTCTGATGTTAATTGTGAAAGAGCAAAGAAAAACAAGGTGGAGAGCTGTCTGTTTTGTAGCGCCACAGAAGCAGGGTTAAAACTGTAGCTCCGGGGATGCGGACAGACACCTTTCTGTGACAGCACTATTCCTGGCTTTGCTGCTGTGCCATGACACTGAGGTGTTAGTTACCAGGTGGGGACGCGGGGTAGGGACTCGTGGGACCTCTAACAGCCTCACCGTTTCTTGTAAGCTTATAATTATTTGAAAATAAAAAAAAGTTAAAAAGGGCCTATTGAGATAGTGGCTTAGCAGGTAAAGGCACCAACCCTGGAGACCCAAGTTCAATCCCCAGGACCTACAAGGCAGAAGCAGAGAACCAGCTCCAGAAAGCTGTCCTCTGTTCTCCACACAAGTGCAGTGGCCCACACATCGTGCATACACGCACTCAAAAGATTAAATAAAATGCTTTTTAAAAGTTCAAAATATTGTGAGTAAACCTCAATGATATTAAAAAAACAATAAATTATATAGAAGAGATCAGAGGAGAAAGCTGGCATCCTTCAACAACAGCAGCTTGTACGGAGCATGGGGATGTCATCTAAGGCAGGAAGATGAGAGGCAATCAGACCCCTCCGCCACACCCAGAGTGTAAACCATCCACCTACCTCTGCTGTTGCTGTTCCAGTAGCTTCTGGCCCTTGTTCAGGGCCTGCCGCAGCATGGCAGAGACTTGCCTTTCAGGATCCATCTCCCCAGGTTCGCCCAGCCCGGGGCCCTCAGCCGTCGTCCACCGCTGCCAGCTCTCCAGGACCTGCTGTTGCTCAGAAGTTTCCTGCTGCACCAGCCGCTCCTCCAGCTTCCTCTCCAGTTCCTGCAGCTCCTGCAGATGAAGGAGAAGGGCTGAGTCCCACTAATGCCAGATTGGCAAGAGTCACAGAGGTCACTGAGGCAACATTATAAGTATCTTTGTAGCTGTGTCTCAGAGAAGTCAGGATGGCTGACCCTCTGTGGTTGAACATCCCTGAAGCTGAAGTTAGGATCTTGTCAGATCAGAAAGGAAAGGACAGTCTACTTTCCCAATGGCCACCTATGTGTGCTTATGAAGGGCCTGCGTTCTCAGGAGTATGACAAGTATGATATCATTTTTGTTGCGGATTTGTGCCTCCCCACCATCCCGAGACTTTTCTAGAAGAGCATGGGAAATCTGATCCACTGTATTTTGAGACATCGCATGCTATGACTACACCACCCACCTCATAAGTGTTCATAAAAATATCTTTTAAACCCACAACCCAGAATCCTCAGAGATGCTATTCCCAGCTTTGGAATAGCCTACTCTAATCTCTTTTGAGTTCGTGCTTTGCTTTGTTAAATGCATTTCTGCTTAACCTTCTGAGCCTCTGGATTGAATTCCTTCAGGAAGTTAAGACTTGGGGACCTCAGTAACAGTGTTTCATAAGTGGCTGCTTCTGTGCCTCTCACCTGGTCATATAAATGTCACGGGGTGGCTCTAAGCTTCAGACACTGCACAAAGTGCCCTAGACTTAGTGACAGCTCAGTGAATGTTGGCTGATTGAAACACCACTTTTGCTTTTGATCTCACGGTGCCTTAGAGCAGTGATTCTGAGTGGCAGGGTTGGAAGTGTGACAACTCAGGCAGAATCATCCACCAGAGTGACTGGGGCACCAGGACAGTAAAGCATAGGAAGACTCGGCAAGTGACACTGAGCTGCAAATACAGCAGGGGCCTTAGTCTGGGGTTACTCCTCTTCTGAGCAACCCCATCCTGTTTAAACTTGCTCAGCCTTGCCATGCGGTCCCGCTGCACCTTCCTATAATCCAATTTCACAAAAGGAGTCTAAATTGTTCACTGAATGAGATGCCCGCCAAGGACTCTCCTTAGGAATTGTTTCTTCCAAAGCTTTTCATTTCATGCTTTTTAAATTCTCCAAATGCTCAACAGCTTAGAAGCTCATTACCAACGGGAAAGTGCTTGGCACAGAGCGATCATGCTACAGAATGAAGAGCCTTGAAGAGAGCGGAGCAGGCTGCCTTCTGTTCCCATGCAACCCAGGCAGGTGCAGCTCATCCACCATCTCACCGTCAGCTCAAGAATGTGTGATCTGATTCTAATGTAGGGCATGTGGGCTCTCCCCTTGCAGGCAACTGTGATGTGACGCTCTGACGTTGCTCAAGAGCTCTGAGATGAAATGGGAAGGGCAGGTGTGTCCCAGGGATAGTAGGATAGTAGAAGAGCGGCATCTGAGGGGAATAGTTCTGGCCCAAAGGAGCATCTCAGACACTCAGATGTCTCAGTGTCTCAATGTCTAGACTCCCTGAAAGACCTTGGCTTTCCATTTTATAGGGGGCTAGGTTTTGGACTTTTGTTTTTTTTGACACAGATTCTCACTGAGTAGCCTCATTGTCCTGGAACTACTTATGTAGACTAGGCTGGCCTTGATCTCACAGAGATAGGACTGCCTCTGCCTTCCAGATGCTGGGATTAAAGGTGGGTGCCAGCATGCCTGGCTGCCTTCCCATCTTAAAGGCTCATTTCCTATAACTGGAATTTGGGGCACTGGTCCATCTCCATGACAGTCACCTCCAAGTGAAGCACTCGTTGAATGTTTTGATAGACGCTCTGGGGAGGCTTCCTCCTGCCACTAACATTCTGAGCATCTGGAATGGGCGCTATCTCTGTCTGTGACTAAATGGTCACGTGAGCTGTTTCCTCCCCTTTAACCTGTTAAGCAAGGGAGTTTTGTAAACCAATGTCCTCGTGTTAAACTCCTGGGAAGTCCTTATATTCCTGGGGAAGCAAAAACAAAACAAAACAAAAACAAAAAACCCTGCCTGTCCATGATAGATTAATTATTCTAATAGATGGATTGGTTAAGTTAGCTGCTATTTTGCACACAAAGTTTACAACTGTGTTCACAACTGCAGTTCTGTCAGGTACCACCTGGGTCTCCTGTGATATGAGGATGACAAAACAAGGTGAACGTTCTAGTGTCGGGGATGATGGGAGCACAAGCCTGGTGATGTCTTCAGTAAGAAAGGCCCTCAAAGGCTCATATGATGAACACTTGATCCTTGTCTGATGGAACTGTAGAGGAAGGATTAGGAGGCATGGCCTTGTCAGAGGAGAGGTAGGCTTTGGGGTTTCCAAAGACTCATACAACAGCAGCCCAGTCTGATGAGAGATGACGTGGACCTATGGACAGTGACCTCAGCTGTAGACTAGCTCAGCTCAGTGGATCCTCGCCTGGGGCAGGGGGAGGAGTATAAGGGTTACCCCTTCCTGAAATAAAGTAAGCTCGTTGTTACAACTTGTTCCTGGTGTCTGTGTTGTTAGTGTCATGTCTACTTTCCCCCACCCGCTAGGGACACCCATTGGGACCCTGTAACATACAGGTTCACTTCTTTCTACCCTAAATTTAAAAAGACAAAAGTGGAACATTACAGAAGAACTTCCAGTGGCTGACCAGGCAAGATGTCTCTGTCATTTCTAGAGTTTATATATTATCCGTCTGTGGTCTTATCTTACCGGAGGGGGTGGGGGGGCGGCGGGTCTGCTCTCTCCAATCTCTCCATGTTGACTCCTCCTTACTACTTCCTCTCTCCTCCTTGTCTCCTAGTCCCACCTATCTTGCTTTCCTATTGGCCAATGATGCTTTTTTCATTAACCAGTATGAGAAACATATTTACAGAATGACATCACCCATCACAAAAGGGTTTTATTCTCTCAAAATTTCATGCCCTTATTTGTGTATATATATTTTGATCATATCCATCCACCACCTACCTCTCTCCAATTCCCCTTAGTGCCCCCCACATCGTCTTTTTCTCAGCTTCAGGCCCTTTAAATATACATACATACATACATACATACATACATACATACATATCCTTAGTTATGATCATTTTTTCTCTGATACAAATTTAAGACATAAATTTCTTTCTAAAACTTTCACAAAATGAGCACATTTTGATACATCATAGATACATCTTTATTAAAAAAACTCTATATATTTTGAACTCTTTTACTTCTTTGACTATGGAACTATTTAGAGATATATTTTAAATTTTTCAAAGTTTGGATTTTTTTTAATAGTTTTCTCTTAACAGATTTGAGTTTAGTTGTCCCTTGGTCAAAAGAGGTCACTATTGACATCCCATGGTCAGGTACTGGAACATCTATGAAGTGTGCTGTAAAGTGTATCTGCTACTTGCTGGCTGTGGTTTATATGTGTGTGTCAGAGAGCCCCCTCAGCCTCAACAGTCTATCTACACCATCACTGTGCTTTGGAAGCTCAGCCTGTCATGCTGCCTCTCAGAACCGAAGTTTTCCACTTCGATGACTGTGGCAATTTGAATGAAAATGGACTTTAGAGTCTCATAGGGAATGGCACTCTCAGGAGGTATGGCCTTGTTGGAGGAAGTGTGTTACTGAGGGCAGGGTTTGAGGTCCCAGATGCTCAAGGCAGACATAGAGACTCACTCTCTTCCTGATGCCTACCAATCCATGTTTAGAGCTTCCAGCTACCTCTCTAGCACCATGTCTGCCTATATGTTGCTAAGCTTCCTATAGGACAATAATGGACCAAAGCTCTGAACTGTAAGTCAGCCCCAATTAAATGTTTTCCTTTATAAGAGTTGCTATGGTCATAGTGTCTCTTCACAGCAATAGAATCCCAAACTAAGATCATGGTCTAGCAAGTTTATTTTTGTTATTTTGAGTCTTTTATGAAGTACATGCAAGTTTAGAATTGTGCATTTGCTCCAAGTAGGTAAATTAAACTAAGAATCACTTTTACATTAGCTTTAATTTCTTTAACAAATTTATGTAATTTCTTATGTAATTCTGTATGTCAGATTTACTTTACATCCTGGCTGAAAATCTGAATGCATTTTAGTGTATTCGGTGATCTTAATGTCATTATTTGGGCTTCTCCTGTGCCTAAGTCATCTTGACTGGCTCATGTGTGACTTCTATTTATTTTTCCCTCAAGGGTTTGTGATCATCTGAACTTAGCCTGTGGAAATCCTAAGGTCCCATAGAGAATGTTCTTGCCTGGAGATGATGCCTTTGGGCAGGGACAGTCAAGTGACCTAGAACAGTTTCAACTTTGTTTATCACCCTGAAGATACCCTTCATGAGTTCACTGTGGTCCTTCTGGATACCTTCCACATGGTAGTAGAGCATGGGTTTAAACTTCACAGTTACGGTCTGCCCTATCCCTATAGCAGGCTGAACACATCCCTCCCTTGGTGTATTACCTCACCGGAAATCCACAGTCTCATTTCTTCATCCCCTCCAACAAAGTTGCTCCTTAAATTGCTGGGTCTGAGGCTCAGCAGCAGTGTCAGCCTCTGGTTGGCTATCTGACTTCTCTGTGAGCCCAGCCTGCTCTAGGACAGCTCAGCTCATGGAATACCTCCAGGAGGTCATGAAGCAGGAGAAAGCATGTGCATTTTATGTGTGGGGCTAGAATATCTATAATAAACCCACTTCCATACTAACCTTGATTAATTAAATCTTACAGGACAGGATACACACAGATCTACTGAAAATAGTCCCGGGTCCTTTGGCGTCCATGGCCATTTGCACCACTTTAAAGAAATCACGGTTGACGACCTTCGCAAACTCAACAGGGCTTGCCTAAGATCTATGAACCTGACATGTCTGTCAAGGTCAGAAACAGATTTGGCTTCCGGCCTCATTCAATGGCCATTCTGACCCACAAGGAGACATCTGCCAAGTGCACACTCTCTTTGCCTGGGAATTGAGACTAACAGCAGCACAGCTCAGCAGTCACCCGAGACAGTGTGTGACTGAGAGCTGAACCATAGGACAGTGCAAGACTACAATCTGTGACCGATCCTGCCTAAAGGATAACATTAGGAAGCACAATTAGGTAAGGAACTGTCAGCAGGACCACAGCGGTCACATCTTAGCACTCGCCTGCCTGCCCAGGGCCTCAGTAAGAGAAAGATTTTCCCTCCCTGGAAGCTGTTATGGTAATCCATAGACTTAAAAACAAACCCCACACATACTCTCAACCCTCAACAGAGAAAGGAGCTGCCTTTCCCTGTAGATGGTGATTCACGATGAGACCCGCAATTGGCATTGAAAGAGAGATTCTAGAATTCTCCAGCCTAAATGGGACATCTGTATCATACCCATCCTCCAGAGACTCTGGGACCATTTCGGAAGAGGAGGCTGCGAGACTGCAAGTCCCAGGAAAGTGGTAGATAAATACAAGGACAGAATACTCCACACACAATAGGGAAGCTGCACGCATGACCTCACAATGATCGTGGCGACACTCATAAGGCCCAAGAAAACTCAAACTAGATGAAATCCTGTCGTGGGCAGAAGAATTTGCCAGAAGTCCCATCCCTAGCAGAGTAGCTATTGCAATGAATAGCTGCAGAGAGAAGGGGAATCTCTCTTCTTAAAGGTGTGGCCCCTGGTAAGTTGACCATACTGCAGTAGAGAGCCACACATCTAAGAGTATATGGGAAGCACAAACTATACTTGGGAGTTTAAAAAAAAAAAAAAAAAAAAAAGGACACAAATTTGGGAGAGTAGAGAAGGGAGGAGTTGGAGGGGTGGTGAAGATGATCAAAAGACACTGTATGAAATTCTCAAAGGATTAATAAAATATGAGGGGAAAGTCTACATGTAGGTGCTAGAGCATGTACTGCTCTGTGAGGATCTGAGTTCAGTTCCCAGCGCCTACTTCTGGCAGCTCACAACTGTCTGAAACTCTAGCTTCCGGTGAGACAATACCCGTCAGGCCTCTACGCTCACCTCATGTGCACAGACTCACACAAAACATATAGTTAAAAAATAGAATAAAATATATTTCATAAACCTGCATATAAAGGACCTAATATTGGTCCCCAGAACAGCTTTACCAGAGCTTTTGGTCCATGGAGACAGTTCTTCAGCCTGAAAGAACATAGTGTGTGGGAGTGACTGCATTATTAAAAATCAAACACCCAGCCCGAGACACGGCTGCATTTGATGTGCCCTAACTGAAAGATGCATGATGAGTTTCCACAGAACACAAAGAAATGCTCCCAACTAGGACTCACGTCTGGGATGTAAGAGGCAATCTTTCCCCAGAGTGTGGGGATTCAGAGGGTGTCTGCTCAGAGACAAGAGCCAGAGCTGGGGCAGGGCTGGTTAGGGCATAGTGCCCTTGTATAATTAGTAAGTCACCTCACTTGGTCCCCACTTCACACACAGGACATGTGGTAGAAACCTATTCCATGGCAAACAAAACACCATGCACCTCAGGGAGCCGATGGTGTAGGTACCCTCTCCTACCCTAACCCACTCACCGGGCTGTGGGACTCCAGGATCTGCACACAGGCTGACTTGGTCAGTGTCTCGGATTCACTGAGCTCCTCCAGCAGCAGGTCTTGAATGGTAAGCAAGGCCGTGTAGACAGAGAGGGTCTCAGCAGCCCGGGCCACCTTCTGGAACTGCAGGGCCACAAGTGACTCAGCAAAGTGGGCCTCCTGGGCCTCCAGCCTCTGCACTCGCTCATGGAGCAATTCCCCTCGAACCTGGTGAAGGAAACAGAACCAGAGGATCTGAGGGGCTGTGGGAGACGAGAGTCCACTGCCGCCTAGACATGCGTGCTGAGGATCCCAGAGACCCTGGCCAGAAGACAGCAGCCTGAGTCTCTGCTGGGAGCAAGGCAAGGTCTGGGCTGTTGAAGACACCAGGTTCAATGCCTTTCATTGTCTCTGTGTATTGTCAGAGCACCAAGGCAAACACAACACTCCCAGGTTCTCAGGATCGTACACTAGACCCAATCTCTATACAGTCTAGAGAACCAGGTATCCATCATGGATGGGTTTCCAAGGTAACTGAAACTAAATAGGTAGAGGCCAATAGCCAACCAAAGAAGACGGACTGCTCTGCCAGAGTCTGGAAAGCTTTCCCTGAAACTTTGGGCTTCTCTGTCTCTGAGGTCCCTTCCCACCTTCTATCATCATGTGGCTGTCTGCTGACCTCCACTACTGAACCTACTTGCTTCCTTGGACCCTAATTTAAAGGGCACAGATTTCTATCCTGTCTTTTTAATTAACCAATATGCTTTGCATCATGGGGTAAAGTCCTTATCAAGAAGTTGCCATTGATAGTATGTCCCTCCTCCAAAGTTTCCAATACCAAAAACTGTCCCGAACCTTGTTGCCCTGCCCTTGACCAGCAGAAAGTAGTCACAAGAATGACAGTCATGCCAAATTTAACTTGTCTGATAGAAACTAAAGTCAGGAATGTTGGCTGTGGTCACACCACCTTGCAATGGCCCACCTTCACTAAACAATGAGAATTCCTGAAACAAGTAACTTGTTTTTCCAGATTGTTTTTCATCCAGATGCTTTTTCATCTCCTGACATCTTTTACCTACCACTTACCTTAATCCCTTAGCTTCCCTAGTGATGGCAACCTCAGGCAAAACCTGTCTTCAGTCCTACAACTATCATTTCTGTCTCCCAAATAAACTCCTCTGAAGACAGACTTAGGAAACTGCGTATAGAAGATTAAAAAATCCTCCCATGTAATCATGTTTCACGAGCTGTCAGGTGTCCCCACAGCCATGGAAAACATCGTAGGATGGCCCCTCTCCTGCACTCTTAGGGGAGAAAGACCCCCCCCCTTCTCAGTAATCCTTGCTTCCAAAGCACAAACGACAGGCAAGTCCCATCTGAACAAATCCATGCAGGGCAGAGAGAGCCTGTGTTCTGGGTCTACACGGATATCCTTGGACTGAGCAGTAAGAGTTCACGTGCACTGGGAAATCTGCTAATGCTGCTATGCCTCGCGATACTGCCGACGCAAAAGGAACTCCATGTTTTCTTGAGAGTGTGCTTTTTGTTTTTGTTTGGTTAGATCCTTTTGTATTACTGAGTTTTTGTTTGTTTTCATTTTTCCTCTCTCTCCGTGGAGATGAGGGGAGTAGGGAGTTGGGGAGGAGTTAGGGGTTGGGAAAGAATATGATCAAATTGTATTGTATGAAAAAATAGAAATGGTAAAAAGGAAAAGAGAGAGGATCAACCATGACAAAGTAAAAGTAGGACAAGAAGAGGGTAGACGGTGGGAAGGAGAAGGACAGGGTTAGACGGGAAAGGTAAGACTCGCTCCTAAAGGAACATGGCCCAATATTTCCAGAACTCAGAAGTCAAAGACGAAGCTAACTAGAGAAAAGAAAGCTCCACCTCCTTCCCCGACTACCCGAAACACAGCAGGAGGTTAGCCATGGTCCTGCCATTTGTAAAGCTCCTCCATTCCCATTTAGACCGATGGCAAATACTGAAACAGAAGTAAGTTGGTTTGTTTTGTTGCTGCTGCTGTTGTGTTTCTAGATGTTTGATCTCCCATCTCAACCAGCCTCCACTAACAGCTGACCAGGAGAGATGTTCATCCATGCTTAACCCACTCCCTTATTTCCCTAGTGTCCCTAACAATGAGTGGCCATGAGCCTAAGAGGGAAAATGCCCCTTTCCCTCCCACATCCTCCAGCCTGTAATCGGGCAGCAACCTCTGGTTCCTTACACTAGACCCCTGTGCTGCCCTTGAGTCAATGGTTCCTTTGTAGACCTCGTGAGCTCCTCGAGCCTCAGCCTTCCCTCCTGGGTTGATGCTGAAGGTACAGTGCCCTGCCAGAGAGAGGTGATAGCTCCACAATACTGTGAGTGAATACCTTCAAAGTGAGGAAAGCAAAAGCCTTTTGAATGTACCCTAAGAACAATGAGGACAGGGGATGTTTAAAAAGGGTTTTCCACAATCCCCCTTTCTTTCTTTGGAAAGCGTTATTGTTAATTCCAGCACCTGGTGAGTTGTGTCTCTAGATCAGTTCCGATTCCTGGAGAGAGAATCCCGGGTAAAGACCGATTTGCATATCTATGCTGTATTAATGGCTGGCTTCCTTACATATTCATGCATCTCAAATAATAACACTCATTTGAGAACAAAGCCTTGCTAAATGTTCTTATTTTAAATGGGAAGTTCAAATAACTTCCTTCCTAGTTTTCCCTAATAGGACTAGAAGATCAAGGAAGCCCCTTCTGGGTCCTAAGATGCCCTTTAAGGTTCCGGTGGGTGTACTTCCTTAAGTACACAGGCTCTCCAGGACCAGAAGAGGGACACAGGAGGGCAGAGATCTACCACAAAAGGACCTACACACAGGCTGCAGAGAACAAAGCTCCTGCCCCATGCTTGCACAGCGCTGGGTGAATCACACCAGAGCCAGAGGGACATAAGGACTTCACCTTTCAATTTAGCCCACCGGTGCCAGCAGCTCACTCCTTTCCGTGACTTACCGCCTAGTCTCACCTACGTGCCTCAGAACGTGTGTGCTCCTGCTTGTAAGCTGCTCAGTTGGGCTGCGGGACTGTCTCAGCGCCTTCACCAGCCTCCTGTTCTTCATGCCCCTCAGCCACGCCTCCGATATGCTCCTCTTATTCTTGCGCCTTCCCTTTCTTCTCTCATCTTTATCCCCTCTTCGTTTTACTTCTCAACTATAACCATCTTCAGCTTTAACCGCTCTAAAATCGGAACGCCCTAACAGGGGCCCAACTTTGGCCTCCCAGCTTCTACACCTACCTCCCTTTCCCTTTCTCTCCAAAGTCCCTCCAGTACTCAGTCCTTCTCCTCCTACCTTCCTTTTACTCCTAGTCTAATTTACTAAACTTGTAGTGCACTCCCCACTGTCACTGTTGGTAGCCGGTTGTCACATGTGCACAGTGAAAATATCCCACAGTTAGCAACCTGTCCAGGGAACGATATAGGGCTTATAACAGGCACCCAGAGTGCACGGACTGAGCAATTATTTTGCGACCCACACACTCAACTCTACCTGGCCCCCACACTTGAGCACTCTGAGTACTTCCCTGGAACAGAAACAGCTGATGTGAGAAAAAGCAACAGTGACCCCCAAAAATAACCACACAGAACTAAGACAACGTCGTAGCTCCTCCAGAAAGTATTAACCCTACAGAAATGGCCCCTAAGGAGAGTGAGGTAAAGGAAATCCAAGGCAGGGAAATCAGAACTCAAAATGCTGATAAGTACGTTCAAAGAAATCAGAGAGGAAAATGAACTGCTAATGGGGAACAAAATCCAACAGCCGAACAACATAACAAAGGTGGCGGTGGTATGACACGAAACACGAATTCAACAGGGACAGAAATCTGAGGAAAAAAAACAATCTCAAATGGTAGAAAAAAAAATCAATAAGTCAAATGAAGAACTCTGGAAAATCTCAGCAACACATTGGATCACCAACAGAGTAGAATATCAAGCCCGAAGACAAGATGGGAGAGCCATTTGACAAGCATGGCGACAGCTATGACTATAACGGGGATTTCAAGAGCTCCCCTCACTGTGTTGTAACAAACACTACAGAACAGAGAGCATACCGGAAGCTGCAGGACAGAAGCAGCAGCCCACATGCATGGCATTAGAACAAGAGGGAATTACTCAACTGAAACTTTAAAATCCGGGAGGCCTAAAAGGATTATTTCAAGTTCTGAAAGGCAGTAACTGAGAGAACGCTGCCCAGCAAAGTTATCCGCCACAGCTGAATGAAAGATAAAATAAGATAAAGCTAAAGGAATTTGTGATCAGGAAGCCTGCTCTACAAGAGGTGCTTGGGGGAAATCCTTTGAGCTGAAGAGAAAACAATTCTATCCACAAGAACAAAACCAAACACCACAAAGGCAAGAACCAACACGCACCTTTCAAATAGCTTTGACTATTAATGGTCTCAGTTCGCTACTAAAAAGGCACAGACGGGTGTACTGCATCCACTTGTTGCCTCTAAGAGACACACCTAACTGTAAAAGACAGACATTACCTTAAGGTGAAAGGATGAAGAAAGGTGGTCCAAGCAAATGGACCTAAGGAACAAGCAGGTCTCGTTGTTCTAGTATCTGACAAGACAGACTCAAACCAAAACTGATGAGAAAAGATAAAGGTGGTGAGTTCACACTGATAAAAGCAACAGTCCTTCAGGAGGGCATTAAGATTCCAAACATGGACCCCCTGAACACAGGTCCATTCAATTCCATAAAACAAATGTGACGTCACAGATTAACCCCAGCACAACAGTATCAAAGGTGATTTTCTTACCTCACTATCACCAACTGACAGGTTATCCCAACAAAAATAGATAAATATATGAATTAGGTGACATCATAGATCAAATGGACATAACAGACAACTCCAGAATATTCCACCTCAATACTGCAGAATATCCATTTTTTTTTCACTAGTTCATGTAACTTCCTCCAAAATAGGTAATGTATTTATGACACAAATCAAGTCTCAACAAATATTAGGAAATTTGAAATAATTCCTTGTCTTCTCTCTGATCATAATAGAATATGAACAGAACAAATCAACAGCATGAGAAACCCAAGAACATACATAAGACCAGGGATTTAAAGACACACCACCGGATGGTGGGTAGGCCCTTGAAGAAATCAAGAAGGAAATAAAAGCTTTTCTATAATCAAAGAAAAATGAAAAAAAATATGAAAATCTATGTGATACAATG